TTTATCCGTCATTCCTGAGAAATTGATCCCATTTGAATTTTTTCTGTGTTGGTGTAGTGTACTCAGGTGAATATGATATCTGTGCTGTTACTCTGAGTGCATATCCACACCGGGCGAGCTTGAAAAATATGCCCGGCCGCGGTGGGATTCGAACCTATGGTGGGATTTGATCCCATTTGCCTGTGCTTTCATGACTTTTAATATTATTCCTCTGCCGTCATGACTACAAACAAAAATTCTGAAAATTCAAAGTTATCCGGACGTTCGTCAACATTTGTCAAGCAAGGTGTCGAGGCCAAAAATGGGAAAATGTCGGTTAGACAGTATTTTTTGGCTCAATCACTTCCCTGGACATAAATAACATAATATAATTAGAGAACATATAAAGATGGATTATTACACATGATTTGTAAAGTAAAATATCCTTAATATATTATATAAATTAGTAAAATATGGCATAACATATAATATAGTATACTATAAATTACTTATATAATATAAAATACTTATTTATAATACGAAACAATAGGTACTCCGAAAATTGAAAGCATTTTGAAAAATTTATTACGACGTTTCGACTAAACTATAATCATCATCAGGAAATGAATGATCATCATTATGGCTATCATTATATATGATCTATTGTTTCAGTATTTTATCAAAATACTCAGTCGTTGCCGTAACTTATTTATAATATTTTTATACATTCAAACACACATATTTATTTGTACCTTCATAGCATAATATCTCCCTGTCTTTCAGCAAGCACCAATTAAACGTGTGGTATGCATTATAATGTATATTGAACACTTTCGTACAAAAAATTGCCAATTTAGAGTAAACTCTATTGCATAAAATCCAGACTGATTTCCATGATTTTCAACGTAAATATTGTGTTTTCAAAACTATGCTGCAGGCTCCTTGCTCATCTGTCGTACACTTCATGTAACACATAGTATATTGGTATAAAACATGGTGACCATTTCGTATTTTTTCTACAAACTTTTGTTGGTCGACTTCAGTGTAATGTTTTATGTTTACATGCTCTAAAGAATTTATGCCAACAAAAAGTGCTAGAGTTTCAACCGAATCCACAATTGCGAATATTATGCGATTTATGGAACATTATTACAACAATGACACGTCTGTCACTGTCTGTTTTTATAAAGGTAAAATCAGTGATGTTGAAACTTGAAAATGAGTTGGATTGTTTATATTAGAGACGGATAAGTTTCAGTTGTATGTCTTTTCATATGGCACAGAAATACCAACTTGGAAAGTAAATTAGTGGTGTTTATGAACATTTGAGATATGCTATAACATAAAAGTACGTCTTTTGAATGTAAAGACCCAAAAAATACCACATCCAAAATGTTTTGTCATCTCTTTACAAAATATAACCAAAACGGGTAAAATATTAGCTATATTCGCCATTTTTAGATAGGTGGTCATATTCAATGGGGCCAGAAAACAACATGTTGGATGTGCATTTAACTTTTTTTGTTATTTTTAGGTTAAAGAAAAATAAACTTACTAAAAATAACATGAGCGACTTTTGCCAGTCACTTGAAGATCTAAAATATTTCTGTCTTAAAGAAAGTTTTAGTGATCTTATCATCATGAGGGATTTTAACGCGCACATAACAGGCGAAAGAAGTCGTCGTGCAAGTAACACGCGCGGAAATTTAGTGCAACAACTTCTAAGTAACTTAAATATAATTGCAGTCAATTTGAAATCAGTCTGTAAAGGTCCGCTGTAATGCTCTACCGCAGTGTCAACTATTGATTACATTTGTGTACCTAACACGTTGTTTCAGAGCTTTTCTAATGCCGAAGTTTTGAATATACAGCCAGAGAATGTAACTCACCACCTTCCAGTTACGGTTACATTAGATATCATTCATGTCGTCATCCCATGAGCAATTTACAAACTATGCCCCACATCTGCGAATTGCATGGAAAAAATGTACATCAGACAATATGGAAAGGTTCGAAAATGAGTTAAATAGAAAACTCGATTCCTGAGATGGCCCTATATTACACACTTTTGACTCTATCGATACATATGCTAAGGAACTTACAAACTGAATGGTGAATGCCAGCGTGGTTTGCCTCACATCAAACGTTTGAAAACATCTTTGATAGTGGCTTCCTGAAGGACATTAAATCTGAGATTCATCGATTGGATCTTCTCGAAGATGAGAGCGACACTGTTCTCGCCCAACCGTTCACACTCGAAGAGGTAAATCAAGTAATCTATGACCTACCGAATGGTAAATCATCTGGCTTCGATAAAAATTTGTTACGAACATTTGAAATATGGTAGCCCAAATCTTCTACATCACATAGTACTTTTGTTCAATGCCATTGTCTTCGTGGAGTACATCCCATTCTCCTTCGAATTAGCTGTAAAAGTCCCAATTCCAAAGGATGTAACAGGAAAGAAGACATTTGATAATCATCGTGGAATTAGTCTAAAACCCTGTGTTAGATAATTAAAATCTAGAAAAACTGGTCTTACACCGAATTCTAGCTGTGCTTGATTGTAAAATACCCCGACTTCAGGGGGCATACCAAACGGAGCAGAGTGCATAACAACGGCATTTATGATAGACGAATCTATCAGAGATTGCTGTGAAAGTAAGGACAGGGTTTTATGCTGTTCATGTTTACCATCATATGGGAATTACTGGTAAAACGTGGCGTATTATAAAAAACTGGTACACCAACATGAAAGAGGTTATTTGTGTAAATGGTTTGTATTCTCATGAATACAATATATTACAATGTACTAGATAAGATGGTATCATATCCCCCTGGTTATTCTTGGCTTACATCAATGATTCAATCCCTGAGTTAGAAAACAGCAAGTGGGGAATTCTCCTGTATAATATATATTACGGGTCACCAACTTTTGCCGATGACATTACTCTATTGTGCCGTCTTAAAACAACGTTATATCATATCTTGGATATTTCAAACACATTTAGTCGTTCTTGGAGAGTTACATTTAACATTACGAAAACGGTTACTATGGTATTTGGAGAGAAAGTGAGAAAAATTCCAAAACCGGAACGAAATTGGGTTCTAGGTAATCTACCTATTAAAGAAGTGCTAACGTGGAAAAATTTGAGTACAATATGGAACGCAAACAACAAGTTTGACTCAACAATTGATATCGTGCTGAAGAAAGGCTACGCAGTAATTGATATGATGGTAACTATGGTGTTTCGGAATGGCAGCCTGAACCCCAAGGTAGCAACTGAGCTGCGGGGAGGTATTGCTCTTCCGCATCTGCTGTATGGTTGTGAATTGTGGTATTTAACTTTGACACAGTTCTCTAAACTTGAAAAAATCCAAAATTTGTTTTGTCGGAAAGCACCATCGCTACTTCCAGGAACTTCAGGATCAGAAGCAAGAGGCCTAATGGGTCTTGGCGGAATAGAAACGGACATCAGTAGGATAAAGCTATACTTTTTGGGTCGTATCATCAACTGCAGCTCAGCACAAGCCTTCAAGGAATTATTTGTATGTCGGCTAATAAAATGGAAGTGGAGATGTGACGCTGTAAATAGATTTATTCCCGATCTCATTAGAATTTTGGAAAAGTATGGCCTTATGATGTTCAAGACGGACTTTTATACCATCAGAGAGTTTTCTGACGAAATGCAATGGAAGAGGATTGTAAATGAAGTTGTACAAAGAAAAGAAGAGTTGACTTGGTCTGAAAAACTAAACCAAAAACCGGTTTTAAAGCTGTATATGCAAGCAGATCATTATTTAAACATAAGTTTTTGGTATGAAATCTGGGATTTTGCTCCAATTAATTCAAATATCGTAGTCGATGTGATACGTCTGCTTTGTGGCTCTTTTAAAATCGATAGTATCAGGATTAAGAACTATAACTGTTTGCTTTCGTTTTATTGTTCCTTCTGTTAAAAGTATGTGATCAATCCTGTACATCATACTCTTCTATATTGTATGAATACTGCAAACCAGAGAGAGTATTGGTGGATGTGGACCACAGATAACTTATATGGAGATATGATGGTACTTCTTAATTTCTTCCCTTACAAAAATAAACTATAGTTTTTCAAGCCAAAAACTATAGTTTTAAAAACTATAGTATTTTGGAACAAAAACTATAGTTATGGAAACTATAGTTATGGAAACTATAGTATTAAAAACTATAGTTTTGGCTGAAAACTATAGTTTTGGCTAAAAACTATAGTTTTGGCTAAAACTATAATATTTTGGAACAAAAACTATAGTTATGGAAACTATAGTTATGGAAACTATAGTTATGGAAACTATAGTTATGGAAACTATAGTATTAAAAACTATAGTTTTGGCTGAAAATTATAGTTTTGGCTAAAAACCATAGTTTTGGCTAAAACTATAATATTTTGGAACAAAAACTATAGTTATTGAAACTATAGTATTAAAAACTATAGTTTTGGCTGAAAACTATAGTTTTGGCTAAAAACTATAGTTTTGGCTAAAAACTATAGTTTTGGCTAAAAACTATAGTTTTGGCTAAAAACTATAGTTTTGGCTAAAAACTATAGTTTTGTCAAAAACTTTAGTTTTGACTAAAAACTGTAGTTGGAAAAACTATACTTCTGTATTTTAGTTAGAAAACTATAGTTTCTTAAAGAAATATCCTAGCATAGCATGCATGCAAGCAGCACATCACCAATGAAATTTGTTCATGTGATAACATTATTTTATTAATATAATAAATATAATAAGCTATTTGCATAATAATAAACTATATATAACACTTTTAGTTTGTGGAAACACCACGTAAATGTATTACTGTAAAGCTTTCGATCTTCTTTCGATCCTGGCTTACGGATCGAAAGCTTTGCAGTAATAAATTTACGTGGTGTTTCCACAAACAAAAAGTGTTACATATTTTATCGCCATGCAATCATACAAAGAACTTAATAAACTATATATTAAATAAATGAACAAATAACACTAAATATAATCAGTTTTTTGAATTAATAACCATATAAAAAACAATGTATGTCAACTAATCTTAGTTTCTTGTTCAATTTATTGCTCTTCCTTCCCTGCTCTTTGTTGTCCAGCTTGAATTTTATTGCTTTTATAATGTCTTCTTTGTAATCAGGACAGCTCATTTTGTTGTATTGTTAACATCCATTACACATTCTGGAAAACAATGGACAAATTTTCATGTAAGTTAACCATAGTTAATATAATTTCACATTACAGTGCATCTACAGTAGGTGGGGTAACTAAGAGGTCTAACCTGCGATAAAACCTTAATTAACAAAAGTCCATGCCGTACAACCGTACTTCGGTTGGAAATCTGACTGGTCTATGCGACAACAGATTTTTTAATCTGCCATTTGATTGGTTGGTGCGAATTAGATTATACTATTGTTGTCGATATATGTTATGAAGCTAGTATAATGGCGTCGTTGCATATTTCAGCTCTGCTCACTTTGTTCATTGTGACATTTAGTTTGTACCTCGTATACTCAGAAAGATTGACTTACTTTAATGATGGAATTGCTTGTGATCATAGATGTATCGGGGCCCTTGGCGATGCCAGGTTGTGGCTAAAGTGTTCAAACTTTGTAAAATCTTGTCAACACAGACGAGGGTTCTTCAGACGAAAAATTGGTTATTACAGCAATCATACAGCCGGGTATCACTTGGAGAAAATTGATTTAGTCGGTATACATCCTAACCCTGGACCATTACAATCTACTGAATCTAGTGGTAACCGTCAAAATATCAGATGTTTATATCTAAATGCTCGAAGTGTGATTAACAAGACAAACGAACTTCAAACATTTGCTATAGATTCCGACTTAATATGTATTACGGAAACTTGGCTCAAACCCAAAAATTTGGATTGTGAAATTTTATCGGTGAATGATTTTGCGATATATCGACAGGATAGACTTGGTAGAGTCGGTGGGGGTGTTCTATGTGCAGTGCGGGACTCCCTACCAAGTTGTCGAAGAAAAGATCTCGAAACTGGAGTTGAAATGCTTGCTTGTCAACTTAGACCTAAGAACAGGAAGAAAATTTTAGCTGCCGTTTATTACAGACCACCAAATTCAGATCTCACTTATTTGAAAGAAATTAAAAAGTCGCTGCAGCTCATTTCGAAAGCAAGTTTAATCAAATACTTATATGTGGTGACTTCAATTTACCTGATATGGACTGGTCTACGGGTTTGCCAACAACTGGCGAAGCAATCCATAATTATTTCTCGAAGACGGTTCGCGACTATTTTTTGTGGCAATTGGTGGATTTCCCAACGAGGAATGATAACATTCTTGACCTAGTGCTTACCAACATTCCAGAAAAAATACTGAATCTCGAAGGTTTTGATGATATACTTGAAACTGACCACAAAATATTAAAATTTGATTTCAATTTAAAAATTCATCCAAAAATAAAGTCAAAGCGTACTGTGTTCAATTTTAAGAATGCGAATTGGATAGCCCTTAAAGAACTGCTGATGCATACCCCCTGGGACATGGCCTTTGTTAAGAATGACATAAACAATGCACTTAGTATCTGGTGTGATCTATTTTTTGCTGCTGTCAATGAACACATACCTAAATGTACAAAACGGTACGTGACTAATCCGCCGTGGATTGACACTGAATTACTAAAGCTTATTCGAAAAAAAACACATCAAAGAAGGATAGCCAGCCGTACTAAATTACCTATTGAAATTGAAAACTTCAAAATCCTAAGGCGTAAAACAAAACAAATGATCGCCAAAAAACGCAAGGATCACGCTTATAAAATTCGGGATTCTCTTTTGGAAAACCCAAAAAGGTTTTGGGCACTCATTAAATCATCTACAATAACAAACCTATACCAAAATTTCTTAGAGATGGTCAATTGTTTGTAACAGACAATAAAGGTAAAGCAGAATTATTAAACAAATACTTCCACTCTGTATTCCACTCTGTATTCTTATTTATTTGATTTTATAATTTATTGTTGTTTCTCCGATATTTTTGGAGTTTTATATAAAGGGGTTCTGTTGCAATTGGGACGCAAGTCCTGTTCAAACTCCTGTCATATACTTATAATTAATGATATTATGTGTAATATATGGCAAATTCATTAAACTAAACTAAACTAAACTATAATGATCACAAGTATGATTAGATTGTTGTTGTTGTTGTTGTGTGAAATTTAAATTTGTCCTGGGACATTTTGATTGGATAGTGGATATTTATGTATCCTACTAGCTGGATTGGATATAACATATAGATAGGATATAACTACCCAACATGTCTTGTGCAATTACTCCTTGGGTATTAATAGGTGATAGTTAAGTTGTAGGTAGTGTTAGGGAAAATTGCATCTAAATATGTCAACATGAAACATGGGGAGTCTAGCTAGACACTACCATTAACAAATAAAATTGTCCGGCATTAGAGAAGATAATTCCGGCAAGAATTTCGGCAAGAATTCCGGCAAGAATTTAAGAAATCGGTTCCGGTGCACCCCTAATCTCTGGATCTAAATCCTATTGAGAATTTATGGGATCATTTGCAATGAGAGAAACTGAAACATGATCTCCACAGTGAAGACAACCTGTGGGATGTCTTTATTAATCAATGCTGGAATAAGATTGAGCCAACAATACTAGAACACTTGTTGAATCTAAGCCAGGAAGAGTTAAACCTATTTTAAAATCAAAAGGGGTCACACAAACAAATGTTCACTTGGCTAATATACAGTAATATAATATAATATAATATAATCAATTCCAACATTGATCTAACTCCTACTTTGATGCACATATAGTAGTGCTGAGTTGTGGGAAAATATATTGTATATCAATAAAAGGCAAGGGAATATTGACTTGACTTTTAACCCCTATCGATATACTTTTAACCCCCAAGTATCCAGCGACTTTTAACCCCCAAGTATCCAGTTTGACATATCTTGTATAATTACTCCTTAGGAACAAATAGGTGATACTTGGGCAAGCAGTCCACAGTCGATTAGTAAAATTGTCTTATGCGAGACATACATCAAAGTTAAATATCAAAATAGTTAAGTTGTAGGTAGTGTTAGGTAAAATTGCATCTAAATATGTCAACATGAAACATGGGCGGAGTCTAGCTAGACACTTCCCTTGACAAATAAAATTGTCTGGCATTACAGAAGATAACATTTAACAAACTGCTGAAAATTGGCTCATGGGTATAATTAAAAAAAAACATGCTCAACACCCTTGCCAAGGTGTCTGTAAAATATATAAAATGTGGCCCAAAGTTGTTACATGTATATATCATTAAGCAGATAATGCAGGTGGTGTAACTAAATATACTCACAAGTTTAAACAAGCCAACTAAAGACTTGAACTGTCTCCACTACACATCCATAAATCAAGTTGCCACACAACACATCATATTGACATTTTAATCTAAGCGGACCCACTTATACACAGAGGTTTCACTTAACACTTCCCCGGGGCAAATAAATATCATGACGGGCAAGTAAACATTTTATCTTGCTTGTCCGATTGAGCTAGTTGCCATGCCGCAAAAAGCCAGATTGTATAGTGAGTATTGTCAGATTGTATAGTGCATGTACTTGATTCAAATTTTGTTTTTTTTGTGGGCCAATTTAAAGCTAGGATCTGAGGCAGTATAACATAGCCATATTGACGAATCAACATGTTAAATATTGTCTCCTTAATTTATATCCTCCACCTGAGTATCCCAGTGGCCATTGTCCAATGGCAAGTGAATTTTTATATTCAAGGTAACTAATTTTCCTGTCCAACTTGCCCTGAGAGTGAGAGCTGGCAAGTGGTAAAAATAGTAAAGTTACACCACTGTTATATATATGAATAAACATTAGAAACGTATGAAATAGCAGTTGATATATGTCAATAAATTCTCTCAAATCATGTTTAGGTG